GGTTCGCGAGATTCGGGACAGCATGGTCTCGTGACTCGAGGTCACTCGAGATGGGTGCAGATGGAGTATGTTATGTGTTGGATGGAGTTAGTATTATCTCTAAGGCAATCAAGGATAAATTGGAAGAATGTAGATTGATTAGCCATAGTTGAGTTTGGCATATTGGTGTTAGCGATCAGTTCCTTCAGCGTGATCGAGTTATGTAAGTGATTTGTGACGGTACGAGGCTTGTCAGCCGCCGTAATTGATGTTATTCAGGAGCATTCTACTGTTATGGCTTGTTATGCGAAAGCAGATTCCGGAAGGGCTATGGTGGCTTAGACCACTACTTAGAGATTTGCATATCCTACGGCCTTGAGAATTCACCTGTGTGACAATATGGATCTCCTGGAGTGAGTTAAGTGAAAAGTTTTTATATGATGAAGTGCTAACCTATTAGGGGTTCCGAAGCTATGGTGAAAGAACGAGTTCTATTGTATATTGGCATGCCACGTGCGGTGAGTGGTAGGGAATTTGAAGTGAAGATCAATGTAGCAGTTCGGTGTTGACAAGGATGTCACAAGCTCGGATGAGCAGGAAAGGAGTTTCGATGTTTAAGGTAAGATGGTATTGTCTTCAGCGTCACCTGAGATCAGTGTTTTATGAAAAGGGTCTTTGCGTCCTGGTTAATGATTCTTGATCGTTTTTCAGCGTAGTGCGGTCGGTGGTTTGGAGGTACAACCCAACTATTTGTTATGGTAGGTTATGGGTGTGTGTCCCACAAGAAGATTGTATAAGCGTGGCAGGTAGTCACTGGATTGATTAAGGACTTAGACCAAGTATGATGATTTGTGATGATATCGATAAGTTGAGAATATGTGCCTGGAGGGCACTCGGTTACTGAGTTGTGGACTGTGGATGAGTACTCCGGTTATGATGGTTGTTCTTGTGTGTTATGAGAAGAGGGAGATTAGTATGGACCTTTGAAAGGTTATTGGTTTAGTTGATATGATCGGGATCGACTTGAGGTCAGTGGATGGATTCAAATGTGAATATGGACTCTATGTCAGGCCAAACGTGTTCAATTCAGCAATGCGCTCCTTATGGAGGAGCAGTCAGGGTGTTATTTTATTGTCAGATATCTCATGTAGTGATACATTGCTCTGTGTGAGTTAGGAGGCGGCTTGGAAAATTGCTTATGTGTTGAGGATCCGCGTAGAGATGATGTAATATGAGCATGATGGCTTTTGAGACTTCAGATCGTATATCGCACCTCAGTGTGCTTGAGTTTTGTGGCTTCTGACGCTATATGTCTCCCCAGGGATGGAATTGAGCACGTAGTGTGCTTGTGACCAATATTCGGTATATTATTGAAATAGGCAATCTAGCTCGGAGCATACCTCCCTGTGTGAGTTTTATGGGTGGATCGGGTGGCACGCCGCCATGGTTATGTTGATCGAAGCAGGTTGCACGCCGCAGCAGTGTGAGGCTGAGTACAGTTCCCCTTATCTGCTTTTATGTGTTTTGTTTCCTATTTTATGAGGAAAGCTTATATTAGCTATGTGCCCGCGTCGCATGTATGATTCGCGAGCGGGGTGTTTGTTTAATTAAGTTGACCGCGTCGCATGTATGATTCGCGAGCGGTGTAGTTGAATTCCCTACTCAAAGTTTGCTTTCCTTTATATCGCGTTCGTAGGGGTAGCCTATTGGCACATTGTAGCATCATATGAGACTTTTGGTCATGTCGGGGTGGCTTATTGCCTGAACAGTTCGTACTGGGTGAGACGAGATCATTGGATTCAGGATCAGTGCAATCTGACTATATGGAATATATTAAGGAGTAAAGATCATTATATGGTTCAGAATGTGGTAATGTTCAGAAGTATAGACTCGATGATTGGTTGACTCGGCAGTTGACTATGAATTTTTGCACATCTCTTCCGTTGTGGCGGTATTGTAAGAGTTAGAGTAAGACCTGTGAATGTTGTGGGGTGCAATGGGAGCATCAGATTCGTGGAATTTCGACTAGGTTGATCAGCGAGTGTTATTGTGGCCCGATAGGTAAAGTGATGCTAGGTGTGAATTCAGCAAGGTTATGCAGCCATGTTTGGGTACAACGTGTTGTGATTGATATGGTGATCTTATGTTGAAAACAGGCCGGGCATGGAATTCCAGATGTTGGAATTGGGCTTTAAGGCTTATTGCTTGAAAAAAAAAGGGGATGTCTTCAGAACTGATCAAGCTAATGTGCTCAACTGAGTTGGGGTAGCACGGGAAGGTGCATGAGAAGTTAGCCAGTGATTTCAGACTACTTCAGTGTAGTTCTCAGCACGTTTGAGGACGAACGTATGTTTAAGTGGGAGAGAATGTAACGACCCGACCGGTCATTTTGAGTTCTAGCGCTCTGTTCAGCATCCTGAGGCCATGAACAGCTTCATTTCAGGTATTATGACTTGTGCGCGTGGTCGGAATTGAATTTCGGGAAGTCTAGAGTTGATTTAGAAAGAGAATTCTTATTTTGAAAGCTTAAAGTTGAAAGAATGGGCTAGGATTGGGTTTTGAGTAAACGACCTCGGAATCGGGATCTGAAGGTTCCAGCAGGTTCGTATGATAAATTCGGACTTGGGCGTATGCCCGGTTCGGGTTTTGGATAACCCGAGAACGTTTTGGCGCCTATTNTGGAAGTTAGCATTTTAGAAGAAATTTCATAAGTTTGGCTTGAAGTGCATTTCAGTGTTATCGATGTCCGTTTGGGATTCCGAGACTGTGAATAGCTCCATATGGTGATTCTGGAGTTGGGGCCGCGATCGGAAGTGAATTCGGAGGTCCGTGGGTCATTTTGGAACCATTTCGCTAAAGATAGAAATTTGAAGGTTTTTGAGAAGTTTGACCGGAGATGGATTTTTCGATATCGGGTTCGGAATCCGATTCCGGAAGTTGCAGTAGGTCCGTAATGTCGAATATGACTTGTGTGCAAAATTTGAGGTCAATCGGACGTGATTTGATAGGTTTAAGCATCGAAAGTAGAAGTTTGAATTTTTTAAGTTCATTAAGTTTGGATTGGAGGTCGATTCATGATTTTTAGCGTTGTTTGATGTGATTTGAAGCTTCGAGCGAGTCCGTAATGTGTTTTGGGATTAGTTGGTATGATTAGTTGGGGTCCCGGGGGCCTCGGGTGGATTCCGGGTGGTTGACGGATCGATTTTTGGAGTTGAGGAAAAGCTGAAGCAGCTGGTATCTGGTATTTCCGCACCTGCGAAGTTTTGGCCGCAGGTGCGGAGCCGCAGAAGCGGCCAGGAAGACCGCAGATGCAGATTTTGGGTGAGGAAAGCTGGGACCGCAGATGCGGTCAGGGAGCCGCAGATGCGGGACCGCACCTGCGAAAAAGGGAGCGCAGAAGCGGAAGCTGGGCAGCTTGGGAAGGAGCCGCAGAAGCAGCGTTTTGACCGCACAAGCGGAGCCGCATAAGCGGAAATGCCTGGAGGCAGAAAGTTTGTTTTAAAATCGGGGTTGAGTTCATTTCTCTCATTTTTTCAAGGCTTGGGCGATTTTTGGGGAGCTTCAAGAGGAGATTTTCGTCATCAATGTTAAGGTAAGTTAACCCCACCTATTTTGAGTTGAATACATCAATTATGTATGGATTTGGGCATGAAAATTAGTATAAAAATTGAGGTTTTGGTGGAAAACCTAGAAAATTATATTCTTGAAATTTAGCCACGAAATTGAACATGGAATTAGGAGTAAATTATATATTTTAGTTCATAAGGTCATGGGTAATCTTTATCTTCGAAAAATTTCGGATTCCGGGCACGTGGGCCCGAGGGCGTTTTGGTCAACTTTTTGACCGGAGTTAGAAATTGCTATAAATTAGATTGTAATGAATAATTGAGCATATATTAATGGATTTGCGTAACCGTTGGCTAGTTTTGGAGCGTGGTGCATCAACTAGAGTCTTCGGAAGGGCGTGAAATGCCGGTTATGGATCTTCGGAGCGAGGTGAGTCTCCTTTCTAACCTTGTAAGAGGGAAATGTCCCCATAGGTGAATTAATATATTATGTGCTCCTATTTGTGGGGGCTACGTACGCACAGGTGACGAGAGTCCGTGCGTAGCTGCTATTATGCTATTGTTCGGTTAGTCTAGGACCCAAAAGCATGTTATACTTGGAATACTTATGAACCCATTGATAGCTTGAATTGCTCAAATCACATTGAATTAGTAAGTGAATTTTTTAAAAGGATTAAACTTTATTTTTTTTTTTTAAATTTGTCAAAGGAGAATTGGTTTTATTTGGATAATTATTCCCCGATAAATTCCTAATTGGCTATTTGAGCATGTATTTTATGTGTACCTGCGTCGCATGGATGATTCGCGAGCAGGATGATTGTTTATTTTACTAGGAGTTAGTATTTTCTTAAGGGGTTTGCCAATGACCAAAGTGTCACTTATTATGGACCGGAGGGAGTATTAATTAATAAGCTCAAATTAATGTATTTTCATCTCAAAAGAAATTATTGTATTTTACATTATTTGGGGTTGTTCTAGTATTATTGTAAGATCTTTATGTCCTTTTTTTTACCAAATTTTCCCATCATCATTTTAACTAAGAAGCTCAATTTAAGACCTCATTCAATTATTTCTCATAGTAAGATTAGATTCATATGAATTTCATCCTCGATTGTATACAGTGTGATGGAAGGAATTCTTATTAGTAAAACAAAAAGAGTTCATTCTGTACAACTATTTTCTAGAATGACATATACGCTTTTATACATTGCTTTCGGATTTAACATTTGGGTTTCCCCATTTTATATTTCACTTCTCTAAGCTCTTTATTTCTCTTTGCTACAGCTTTTTTCAATCATTTTATTCAGTTTCTCATTCTATCTGTCTTTTGAACAGCATTTGCCGTCTCTACGGAGGATAGATCTCAGGAAGTGTAGAAGCCTGATGCGAACACCAGATTTCACGGGGATGCCAAATTTGGAGTATTTGGATCTGTATGGTTGTGGTAGTCTTGAAAAGGTTCATCATTCCCCGGGATGTTGCAGCAAACTCATTCAGTTAGATTTGAGTTATTGTGAAAACCTTAAGAGGTTTCCATGTTTTAACGTGGAATCTCTTGAATATCTGGATTTCGAATTTTGCTATATGTTAGAGAAATTTCCAGAAATTCACGGGAGAATGAAGCCGGAGATAAAGGAACGACCATCCTCTATTACTCAGTACCAAACACATATTACCAAGCTAGATTTGAGCGGTATGAGAAGCCTTGTAGCTCTTCCAAGCAGCATCTATAAGTTGAAAAGTTTGGTTTTTCTAAATGTGTCGAAGTGCTCAAAACTGGAAAGCTTGCCAGAAGAGATAGCGGATTTACACAACTTGGAGGAGCTTCATGCCATTGATACTCTAATTTCACGACCTCCGTCATCCATCGTACGCTTGGACAAACTTAAAATCTTGATGTTTGGAGGCTTCAAAGATGGAGTACACTTTGAGTTCCCTCCAATGGCTGAAGGATTACGGTCATTGGAACATCTGGATCTCATTGCAATCTAATAGATGGAGGACTTCCGGAAGATATTGGATCCTTATCCTCTTTGAAAAAGTTGGAGCTTCGTGGAAATAATTATGAGCATTTGCCTCGAAGCATAGCCCAACTTGGTGCTCTTCGATACTTGGGCTTATCATATTGCGAGAGGCTTACACAGCTACCAGAACTTCCCCCTGAATTAAATGAATTGCGTGTAGATTGTCATATGGCTATGAAAAGTATCCATGATTTAGTAACAAAAAGAAAGAAACTACAGAGGGTGAAACTTGGTGCACACAATGATTCTATGTATAATTTGTTTGCACATGCCCTATTTCAGAATATATCTTCCTTGAGGCATGACATCTCTGCTTCAGATTCCTTGTCCGATAGTGTGTTTACCATTGTGCATCCTTGGAATAATATCCCAAGTTGGTTCCTCTATAAGGGAAGGGATAGTAGTGTATCAGTCAATTTGCCTGAAAATTGGTATATACCTCATAAATTCTTGGGATTTGCTGTATGTTACTGTGGCAGCTTAATTGACACCACAGCTCAATTGATTCCCGTATCTGATGACGGGATGTCGTGCATGACCCAGAAACTTGCATTGTCCAGCCATTCAGAATGTGATACAGCAGAATGGGATACAGAAGATGACATTAATTTTTTCTTGGTTGATGGCTTATGGAATACATCTAAAGCAAATGGAAAAACACCAAATGACTATGGGATTATTAGGCTATCTTTTTCTGGAGAAACGAAGGAGTATGGAGTTCGTTTGTTGTATAAAGAAGAAGCTGAGGTTGAGGCCTTGCCGCAAATGAGGGAAAATAACAATGACTCCGTGACCCATGAATCCAGTTGTTGTTGCTGTCGCTGTCGCATACTTTAATAACATTAGAAACAAAGGTCACATTCTAATGAAAGTAAGTTGCAAGTATGGAATCCCTTTGCTCTAAAGCCGGTGGCATTGCCAATGAAGAGCATATGTTTCCTTTGTTTGTAGCAGAAAAACTGGACTCTTGGCCTGAGAAAGAGATTCGCTAGAGAACTTACTTGGGTATGCAACAATCCATTCTTTTTCAATCTACATATCTATATTATATACTGGTCTTATTAGTAAAGGTGACGTGACGCCTCTCTTAGACCAGAATAGTAGTCTTGTGAAATGAAATCATATCTTCGCCTTTGCTGACAGGTAGACTTTCAAAAACCAATTGCAGATGAATGTTCGCGAAGCAAGAAAGCTGTGCCAAAATGGATGGATGAAAACAGCCTTGGAACTGTTATTCCTTTGGGATGTAGAGCTCAACTAGTCTTGTATTCTCTCCATCAGAAACTGATGTTCACTTTTCACTTGCAAAATAATTTTCATTTTGGAAACACCAGAAGTTTCTTACACACTACATAACTTTAAATATTGCTTGTCGTAATGATCATGCTCTAACTTTAGCAATACACTTTTACATGGCCATTTTAATATCTGTACAAAATTAATCATACTTTATATACCATGAAAAGAGCAGAAATCAGAAATTTCAAGTCTTGAATGTTAGCTTTCTATGGTAAATTCAAATTTGTATTTTCGACTTGTTCATTTCTGATGGTTCTTTTTACGATTTATTTGGCTCTCAATGTGTTCTACGAAATAAACTATTTTGTATCTTTAATTAGTTGCTTATCCTTTTCAGTTGATATCAGCAAAGTAACGCTTAAAGCTAGCTTAAGTCCTCAAGTGCGGCGCAAAATATGTTGAGCACTTCGCCTCGCTTAGAGGGCGCTTCAGTGTCGTTATCAAGGCTCTAAAATTGACTGTGGAACAGTTTCGAACTCACATTCAAATTGAAAGTGAGAATCGAATTCGTGATACTTTTATGCAACCTTCGAGTTCCACAGTTAATAATGTTAGTCAGAATAATAATGGAGATGGAAACAAAAATCTGAAAGTTTCAAATAAGCCTCAATTTAAAAAGAGGAATACTTTGAAATGTCATCATTGTGGAAAGAAAGGCCACAAGATCCGTGATTGCAGGTTTAAGAAAGCAGGAATTAACTTTAACCATGGAAATTTTGGAAACTCGGGAAGGTCTAAAAAAGCAAAAGCAAACACGGTTGAAAGTTATTCACAAGGCTTGGTTGCAATGTTTTCTGTAGTACCATGTAATATGGTTACAGAATTAAACATGGATGCTGCTGCTGTTAAGAGTCAAGACTGGTGGTTGGATTCGGGTGCCACCGTTCATGTCTGTTATGAGAAGAATATGTTCAAGACTTATGCAGAAGTGAAAGAACCCGAGAAGGTTCTCATGGGAAATCATATGACTGCAGATGTTGCAGGAAAAGGAAGTGTTGAGATCAATTTGACTTCTGGGCAGAAGCTAACATTGCTAAATGTGTACCATGTTCCCGACATGAAGAAGAACTTGATGTCTGCTAGTTTGCTGTCTAAGAGAGGCTTCAAGATAGTCATAGAATCTGATCATGTAATAATATCTAAGAATGGTCTATTTGTTGGAAAGGGCTACACTTGTGATGGCATGTTCAAACTTAGTATTAATGCAATAAACTATGTTTCTGCTTATATTGTTGAGTCCAATTCCTATTTATGGCATGCTAGATTAGGACATTTAAATTTTGGTTCGTTAAATTATATGTTCAAAAATGGATATATTTCTTGCAAAACATGATAATGTGAAAAAATGTGAAATATGTATACAAGCAAAAATGACTAAGAAACCTTTTCGTAAAACTTCAAGATTTAGTGAATTGTTACACTTAGTACATTCTGATATATGTGAACTAAATAGAAAGTTAACCCGAGGAGGCAAGAGATATTTTATTACTTTTATAGATGATTATTCTAGATTCACATATGTTTACTTGCTTAGAACAAAAGATGAAGCATTTCAGAAGTTTAAAGAATATAAATCTGTTGTGAAAAATAAAAAAGAATACTAAGATTAAGATTCTTCATAGCGATAGAGGTGGAGAATATGTTTCCTCCGAATTTAATAAGTTTTGTGAAGAGAATGGTTTGATACATCAAACAAGTGCTCCTTATACACCACAACAAAATGGTTTGATTGAAAGGAAAAATAGAACTTTAGTTGATATGATTAATGCTATGTTAACGAATACACATTTAGCACATAATTTATGGGGTGAAGCACTTTTAATAGCTTGTCACATATTAAATAGAGTGCCTTCAAAAAGCTTACATGTTTCACCATATGAACTTTGGAATAATAGAAAACCTAATTTAGATTATTTTAAAGTGTGGGGGTGTATATCATTCTATAGAGTTCATGATCACCAAAGAACAAAACTAGGTCTTAGAGGAAATTAAAGTGTTTTTGTTGGATATGCTCAAAATTCTATATAGATTGTTGGATCTAGAATCTACTGTTATAATAGAATCTATTCATGTTGAATTTATTCAAAATAAATTTTTAGATAACACTGTCGATGAGGAAATGACTGAATCAAAATGAAAGTGATAATAATGCATATAGATTGTCACATTCCGAAATTACTACAAGTAAAAAAGAAAAGTGACAATATACAAATAGAACTAAGAAAGAGTCAAAGAATAAGGAAAGAAAAATGTTTTGGTTCTGATTTTATCTCTTCACAATCTTTAGCCTTTCTTGTAGAAGGAGAAATGTTGAAGAAGACCCGAAGACATTTCAAGAAGCTATGGCTTCTCGAGATGCTGCCTTCTGGAAAGAGGCTATTAATGATGAAATGGATTCAATAATGTCCAACAATACTTGGGTTTTAGTTTATCTTCCAAATGGATCAAAACCCATAGGTTGTAAATGGGTCTTTCGGAGGAAGCATAATACAATCGGTTCTATCCAAACCTTCAAAGCAAGATTAGTAGCAAAAGGTTTCACTCAAAAAGAAGGCATAGACTATTTTGATACTTATGCTCCTGTAGCAAGAATAACGTCCATTAGAGTGCTTTTATCGATATCTTCTATATATAACTTGTATGTGCATCAAATGGATGTTAAAACGGCCTTTTTAAACGCAAACCTTAGTGAAGAGATTTATATGCAACAACCTGAAGGTTTTGTTCTTCCAGGAAATGAGAAGAAAGTATGTAAATTGATAAAGTCTCTCTATGGTTTGAAACAAGCACCTAAGCAATGGCATGAAAGGTTTGATAATGGTGTACTTCCAAATGGATTCATGTATAATCATGCTGACAAATATATTTACTCCAAGTTCACAAAAGAATACGGAGTTATCATTTGTTTATATGTTGATGACATGTAATTTTTGGTACAAATATGCTTGGTATTACTGAAACCAAGAAGTATCTAACTTCAGTTTTTAAGATGAAAGACTTAAATGAAGTAGATACTATTCTAGGCATAAAGGTGAAAAGAGAGAACAAAAGAATGACTTTATCACAATCGCATTATATTGATAAGATCCTTGCTAAGTTCAGTCATTTAGGCATAAAGGAGTTTAATACTCCTTATGACTTTAGTATTAAGCTAACTGAAAATACTGGAAGAGCAATAACCCAATTAGAGTATGCAAGTGCAATAGGTAGTATGATGTATGCAATGCATTGTACAAGACCTGATATAGCATTTGCTGTTTGTAAACTTTCAAGGTTTACTAGTAATCCAAGTAATGATCATTGGAAAGCAATAACTAGAGTACTTGGATATTTAAAATACAGAAAACATTTGGGCATTTGCTATAATGGTTTTCCCACTGTTTTAGAGGGATATTCTGATGCAAGTTGGATTACCAGTGTTAATGATAATAAATCCACTTCAAGATGGATATTTACTTTGGGAGGTGGTGCCATTAATTGGGCATCCAAGAAACAAACTTGTATTTCTCATTCTACTATGGAATCTGAATTCATAGCATTAGCAGCTACTGGGAAAGAAGCAGAATGGTTGAGGAACATGTTATTAGATATAAAGTTATGGCCACAACCTATGCCAGCCATTTCTGTATTTTGTGATAGTGAGACTACCATGTGTGTGGCTCACAATAAGATATATATAATGGGAAATCAAGACATATAAGCCTGAGGCACGCTTATATAAGAGAATTAGTCACAAACGGGACTATAGCTATTGTGTATGTGAGATCGAATAAGAATTTGGCAGATCCACTTACCAAACCATTGACGAGAAATGTAGTACAACAAACTTGTGAAGGAATGGGGCTAAAACCTCTAAATTGAATACAAGCGACAGGAACCCAACTTTGAGTTAGTATACACTCTAACAAAATAAGTTCAATGAGGTAATAACAAGTTCTTTTGTATTGCTTAAGCACTGATCTCCTTTCGGAACCTTAATTCCAATGTACTACGTATTATTATGGGGAGGAGTCAAGAAGTTGTTAAATATCTGAAATAACTAAGGGAAAAAATAACAAACTTCATGGTGCAAACTGTTACACGAAGAGGTTGAATTAAATCTTAATGAAATTAGTAAATGTTTGTAATAACAGGAACATTGTAGCTAATTTCACCTATATGAATATTGAAGTGGTGCCGCTTCAAGCAAGGTTTAAGGGGTTGATCTTGTAAATATTCATGAAGTCAGGATGAGCACATGGCCATAAACGTGCTAAAGCAAATACTGGATTTTCTTAGCCACTGTATAATATTGTGCGTGTGATATTTTCGGTTTTGACACAAGGAGTTGTGGTTCAAACCTTTTAAGGTACCAATAACTTCGTCAAGACTTTAAGATATTTACACTAATGAAAAGTTCAAATCAAAACAAGATACTCTCCAATATGCGTAATATTATGAGAAATATAACAAACTAGTGGGGGATTGAAAGATAGTTTGTTATTTATGTTGGAAAAGTGGGCTTGTCGCCACATCGGTGGTGCAAGGCCACTTTGTGTGCCTTTTAAGTCCTTGTCCTTTTATGTATTTAATTTAGAACACATACTCTTATATGTGTGCAAATACATATATATTATATATTATATATATATTAATATCAAAGACTTGGACTTGGACTTGGGGCACTTTGTTGGAAGAACTTCTATTTATAGGCAACCATCAGACCTTTTTAAAAAGATGTGTTCTTTCACAAACAGACACATCTGTTTATTCAAATAAATTTAAATCTAAAATAAAATAGATTTAATTGTAGAAATAAATAAAAATAAAATAAAACAGATTTAATTATAGAAATAAATAAAAATAAAAACAAATATATATGGACTACACATACATATTTGTGTTTTTTTCTCTTTCTATTTGTGCCTTTCTTCATTATAAAGCCCACGCTTTATTTGCGTGTAAGCCTCAACAGACCTTAGAGCTCTTTTGCGCTTTTGCATTTGATAACACTGGTTTGATATATCATACTTATTTCATTTGAG